CTCTTTCGAAGATTTTTCACTCGCGTTGCTCTGTGCCGATCGACGCGTCAATTAATTTCAATTTATTAATCAACTGACAAAAAGAAAATATAATAATAACCTAGAAATGAAATAAAATAATTATCTAAATAATTAGCAATTGTACTTAATACGAATGACTAATGCTTCGAGTCTCTTTCGAAGATTTTTCACTCGCGTTGCTTTGTGCCGATCGACGCATCAATTAATTTCGCGAGTCGATTAGAAGCAACTCGGCAATGATCCGCCGAGCGTGGGTGAGTTGCTCCTCCAGGAAATGTCTTACGGACGATAGCGCCGTGAACATTCCGTTGACCTACATTGTTCGAATTCTAATCAGTCCTCATTCCGTATGAGTAATCTGCTACCCTATAATTCTTCGCGTTGAAAAGCATCCGGGAGGCACCGGATATCGATTTCAATTTGGGAATGGTCTCGATCCGTAAACGAAACACCGTTTCACTCCACGGGGGAACTTTTAGTCGGGCTTTTGTTCTTGCCAAGTCTACCATGGACGCGTCGATGAACGTGTTCTTGACAAAAGCTGCTGTCTTATCTTCCGCGGGGGAGGGTGGAACATCCCTCGACATTTCGTTATGCATTTTTTTAGCACTTGAGACTCGATTGTTTCCTCGTTGATGTTCTACTGTCGTTTCTATACAATAAAATCTCTTCCCTGTTGTATGGTCGTTCGATTTTTGTCGTTTTTCAAAACAGTCAATGTCTGATCCACGAAAATTTCGATCATTATTTTCAAAACGGTTCGTATTTAGGAATTTTTATTATATAGGGTAGACCGAAAGTTTCTTCTCGCCTATTTGTTTTTCTTTTTAATAAAACATCAAGGTATAAGAAAGAAACTAATTTCAAGTTTAAATTCAAATATAATTGTTTCATTATGTTGCAAAAATTATTTCTTTCAAATTAAAAAGAAATGTATAATAAAAAAGTATACGGATTTATTTTAGTAGGAAGTGATTGTTGACCCACCATGTAATTAAGAAGCTGTATACTAGAATGTTCGTTGTCAATTGATGATATAGTATAAAAAACAATATAAAAAATTTTCACGTAGAGAATTAAAAACAGTGAAAAATTTTCCTGAAACACTGTACATCACAAAAATGAAGGAAACCAGCAAATAGGTCCGTCGTTTTCGAACGTTTCCAAAGAGTTTCGATACTCTCGATAATAAATCGAAGAAAAATGGAGAAAACAAACGAAAGATCGGACGAAAGTCTTGCTCGTACGCTTGCGAAGTAATCTCCATTTCGCGTGTTTTTCTCTTAAACGCATCGATTTCTCATTTGCCGGGACAAAGCTGCAGATTTTCCTCTTTAAGAGCGACAGCGACCAAAGCAACGCGAAGAGAAAGAAGAAGAAGAAGAAGAAGAAGAAGAAGAAGAAGGAGAGGGGGAAAAAAAGGGAAATCGGCTCGATGACCATCGCCGACCGACAATGAAACACTTGAGAGGAAACATTTATCGATCTCTCGAAGGCGACTCTTTCGCCGTCCATGTTCGAATCTCGTTACAACGTTACAACTATCGAGAATCGTTACGTCCATTGTTCCGCGCGACGAGTAACGGCAACGTATTCCCAAACTTTTCGCTTTCGGGAGCTGCAAGTCGGCCGCGAGTGCGAGATCAGCTCGCGCGAAATGTTGGAATGGCTTGATCGTACAGCGACGTTCCACTTGGAAAATTTAGTGTCGTTCAGATATTTGCCTGCTTTAGGAATTATCAACGCAAAGTATAAAATTTCCAGAGTATAAGATAGGATATCCTTTTTTTTGTGAAATGTCATTTGAATCTCTAAATTTTATATTTACAAAGTGTCTGGCAAAATTTTAATTTATAAAATAATTGTATTTATAAATATGTATTTATATGTATTTGGTAAATACGAAATTTATATTTGTAAAATGTCTAATGAAAGTTGTAAATTGATTAGACTATCAAATTTTGATAGTAGTTCCAATGTTAATATCAAGTTTGTTCCTCTACTTATAAATTTTGCACTTTGATCATCGACGTTTCTAATCTTCTGTTAAAAAAAAAAAAAAAATCAGTTGGAAATATCAAATTTTTAGATAAAATGGAAATTTCTTTCTTCGAAATTTCTGTCTTTTACACCTAAATTTCTCTGACACGCCGAATTTTGTAATATCGAATCACACGTACGATTCGAAAAATGAAACAAATTCCTACTGAAATTTCACTTAAATTTGAATTTGAAACTAAGTCAAAATTGAAGATTAATAAATACAAATCACATAGAACGTGTAATTTTAATCTGACAGAAGACCGAGTGAGAGAGAGAGAGAGATCACAAGACAAGCAATTAATCAGTATAGCATTAATTAACGCCAGTTCCAGTTTTAATAATCGGACCGATCCAAGAAAACGAAACATCCATTCTTCCCATCCCTCTTCATCGCCGACTCTTATCAAAATTCTCCGACCGGCTTACGCGAATTCCATCGAGCAGAAGCTCCGAACATGCAACATCCACTCCATCCGTCCTCGGTATTGCGATACGATACTCGGTATTATAATACCAAAAGACGAGAGACAGAGAGAACTGTTGCAGAAAGAACCGGAGGAGGGCGTACATACGTACACGCGTGTGTTCGTGATAATCGCGAGATACATCGAAATTGCATCGAACGAGTTTCGTGACAGGTGGCTGCATTCCCGGGGCTTATTGCCGAAGAATAAACGTTGATTTATTCCTCTCTCTCTCTCTCTCTCTCTCTCTCTCTCTCTCTCTCTCTCTCTCTCTCTTTCGGCGCGCGTTGCCTGAATTCCTAAAATATGGCGAGGAAACGCGGAACCGAGGGG